AAATTGGACTAAAAAAGTGCAATTTTTGTCTTTGTGGATGAAAAAAATGAGGAAAAAAATATGGATGTTTGGGTTAACTTTTTGACTTTTATAAAAAAATGTGTATTACAAAATTGTACTCCCTCCGTCCCAAAATATTAGTCTCTTATTCTATTTTTCATTGTCCCAAAATATTAGTCCCTCTTCAAAAATCAAGTACAAAAATAATACAAATTTCCTATTTTGTCATTCTTTTAAATTAATAAACAATATAAAAAGTACAATTATGACATTGATATTCTCAAAAAATGTACTATCAAAAGGATAATTTTGGAAAATTAACTTTTTTCAAATGCAATAATTATACTACCAAAAAAAGTTGGATTCCCCAAAAGGGACCATTATTTTGGGACGGAGAGAGTATAAATTAATGTGTAAGGCAAAATTAGAATTTGGAGTTGTGTAGGCGTAATTTTTGACTTCCTGTGAATAGTAATAACTTTTTGACTTTTTAGTTTTTTTTCCCAACTTTCCAAACTTGGCCTTAATATGTAGTGTCACGTACGTTTCCGTTTCCCTCCCAAATTTGGAACAAAAACCAAAGTCGCCAGGCAGCGCTTTTGAAATCCCACAGATGCAGTACTTTTCATGATGACCCACATGCCGTAGCCTTTCTAATCTCACCAACTCATTTCCATTTCCCATACAAATTTCGGCAACTTTGCTGTCCCTCCTTCTCTCTCCATTTCGGTTTTGCTGTCCACCTCCAGTAACACACTCTCTCTCTGTGTCTCCATTTCGACTGCGCCAGGTCGCCGATGGTAACAGCCACCATTTTCTCGGGCATGTGTGAGTCTGTCTATTTTTTATTTCGGAGCACATTATTATTATGACCTACTGTGTTCCACTCGCACGACATTACCATTTCTGAACTATTAAACTGTTCCTCCTTAGGTCATTGAAACCATACGTACGATTAGGTATACAAACTACACGGGTGACAAACTGATATTGCCATTGAGGAGTACCAAAGTGACAAACGGTCTTCGTTGAGCAGTGTAGTCGGGTTTTTATTTCTCTGAATGAAAGTAAGTTGCGTATGGGTGCTGTTGCGTTGAATGTCCGATGTGGCCCTGTTTCAAGTGTGCGCATTGGTTGTTGATTCGGGCTTGAAGTCGTAAATACTATAAAACGAGTACAACATATGGCCAATTAATTTTCGTAAAACAGTGGCATGCCATATCTGCATAAATTAACGACAACATATCGTAGTTGAAAATAAGCGTAAAGTACCACTCGTACAATGCACGTACGACTCAATGGTCCGTTGATTGTAAGTTGTTAACAGTCAATTTCATTTTGTTACAATTTGGGAGTAACGTTCTTTTTGCATCCTTATGAATATTGCATGCAATTCTCTGCAGGAATTATCGTAATTGGATATGGGCGACATGTCAAACAATGCGAAGCAACTGTGAGTTTATGTCGTTCAGTATTTGATACAGTTAGGTTTGCAAGGTTATGTTTCCTGTACCTACTAAACACCACGGTCTGTTCGTGTATGGCATATTGTGCCGTTATGTACTGCCATCAGGAGGTTGTGCGATTTGAGTTTGACACATTTGCGATAGCCTCAAATTGCACCATGAATTTCGTGTAATGGATTAAAACTGTGTCAATTTCTTACCAGAATATGTGCACATACGGCACATGTCGCATATTCTGCGGAGAGAATTTGTGAAATCCATAATTCACTGAGTTATACTAAACCAATTCGGTTCATCAATTTCGGTGACAATTTAGAACCTGGTGGA